ATCAGCATAGTTTATTTATTTCATTACCATATAAATGTAAAGGCCAGATGAGAATTGCGTAGGGTAAGATTCCTTCCCTGATACCGGGAGCATGTTATTTGTAGAATTCAAGCTATAAATTGAAATTTAATAGCAGATCTGGCCGACACTTATTCATGACCTGCACTGTTAAACTAAAAAGTATTCTTTTTTACGAAAATAAAGTTAAAATAAGACGTGATCCATTGTTACTTCTTCCTATTGGTTGGATTGCAAAGCAGCATCTTGCTGTTATGTGGTTTTTGGTACAGCAATTTCAGCTATGTTACTGTTATCCCTTAATTCATCCTTCACAGTTTCTTCGATAGCCAATTTAGAAAGAAGTTCACCGGTACTCCAACAGTTCTCACACACCATTTCAGAAAATAACTCCGATCTCTGCAACGGCGGTTTTACCAGTCGGAGGCAAACTGGACAAAAGGCATTTTCTTCCTGTCGGCTGTTTTGCAAATCACCTTCTTTAATGACGTTACTGTTACCTGCTATTTTTCCCCCATTGGGTTCGTCCATAATAATTTTACGAAGCGTTTCGCCCGAACTCCAACAGTCTTCGCACACCAACTGTGAAAAATGTTCCGACATCCGCAGCGGCGATTTTGCCAGGTGGATGCAGATGGGACAAACTGCTGCCTCACCCCGTTGGTTCTTTTGTGATTCACCTTCTCCTCTGTTGTCATTGTTATCCCTTATTTTTTCCTCGTTAATTTCCTCTATAGAAATGTTACGAAGCATTTCACCGGAACTCCAACAGTCTTCACACACTAGTTCTGAAAAGAGCTCCGACCTCCGCAGTGGGGTTTCTACCTGCCGAAAGCAGATCGGACATATTGATGCTTCCCCTTTTTCCTTTTCCTGCAAATCAACTTCGCCCTTTTCCTTTTCTTGCAAATCAACTTCGCTCTTTTCCTTTTCCTGCAAATCAACTTCGCCCTTTTCCTTTTCTTGCAAATCAACTTCGTCCTTTTCCTTTTCCTGCAAACCAACTTCGCCTTTTTCCTTTTCCTGCAAATCAACTTCGCCCTTTTCCTTTTCCTGCAAATCAACTTCGCCTTTTTCCTTTTCTTGCAAATCCACTTCACCCTCTTCCTTTTCTAGCAAATCAACTTTGCGCTTTCGCTTGGCTTTCTCTATAAGTTCCAGGAGATTATCGGCTAAGCGAAACGGCTTCACGTCCACCTCCGAGAAGACTTCTCTGCACAACGGGCAGATTGGTTGTTCAACATGGAGCAACTTCTGCAAACAGGGTTCCTTGCAGAAGAAATGTTCGCATGGCAGACGATAGGGCGCCTTGCACGTCTCTAGGCAATAGGCACACTCTAATGCCTGCTGGAGATCTTCGTCATGCACTATCATTGCTCACTGACTGACGTCGATGACGGGACCGTCAATATAAATCGACGCCTGTGCGTCTCGAATCGTGTGGAATCGTATGAAGGCCTTAATACTCAGCGCTAAGCCAATACCATGTGACTTTGTGCTGACCAATACCTTCATGCAGAGTGCGCCAGTGTCATACTGACGCCTTCTTTATGCCCTGCACGCACTGAGAATGTGTGCGTATGTAGGGGGGGCATATTTATTTTCTAAATGCGTGCAAACGTAGATGAGGCGGCGGCAGTTTGAGAAAGAAAGGGTGCCCGTAACTACGATAAGCCAGTTTGACTTTCGAAGGAATTTATGACATT